TAGGTTGAAATATTTTTTCTAAAAAACATTGTAATTACTTATTAAATTATTATAATAATAAATATTATAAACAAATATTACCTACATAAATGTATATCATAAATTATTGTTATTAACTTTTAAGTCAAAACTGTTTTTTTATATTGATAGTCAACACATTTTTAACTATTATAATTTGAATTTATTTTTATTTTTTCAAGATGTTTATTTTGAAAAGACTTAAACATTTTATAAGTATTAACTAGATCTAATTTTCTACCAGAAATGACCCAAAAAAAATGTTAGTCAGAAAAAAAATCATATTTCAATCTAAAATCGCATGCTCAAAATCTTAAAGAAAGGGAAAATAATTTAGTACTAAAAATAATAGACCCAAATAAAAATTCAGGTTCTAACACAAAATAAATAAAAATATTTATATAGGTAAATAATTTTAATAGGGAGGTACAGATAATGTTTTGAAGGATAATTTGGCCGGAAGTTGGCTATTTAAACAGTTTCAACGTATCTAAATGTAATTTGGTAAGGCTTGAAGGAGCTTAACACCTTTATTATCAAAATTAAATTAGCTCCAAAAAATTATACAAAAAATAAAGTTATGAATTCTATTTAAATTATATATTTATTTTTTTTTTTGAAAATTATTTTTATTTTTAACATTAAATAAATATTTAAGAAATTCAATATTTGATAACTACTCTAGAATTTACAAACATCCGCTACAATTTGGACTTAAAATTATATACTATTTACTAATGACTAAAAAAAATATGAACGATAACAAAATTCAATACTTAGTAATCACGATGCGCACGCGACTATTGTATTAAATTAAAATATACCTACTAAATAGGAAATAGTATTCTCTATAACAATTTTTTTATGATGAAAATGTTTTAAATTGGGCTTAAATTATAAAGATACGTATCTTTTTTTGCGTTTTTAGATATTTTAACGTTATAAAATTAATTAATGTTTAATGTTAATGTACTTTCAAACGCTTTATTTTATTCATTTCGTAAATATATAATTATTATATTTTTAAACGTTATTTTAATTTATGGTTTTAAGTTAACGTTAAAAGGGAAAATAAAATTGTAAACACCAATAATATTGATTTTAATATTACATATATCTTACAATATCAAATGATTATTTAAAAAAATTATACTATGGTATAATAATAATATAATAGTTATTAATATTAATAGAGCAATAAATTGAATAAAATAAAAATAACAAAATAGACATTTTTTGTCAAATTCGCGATTAATTAGTTTTTGAGTACATGTGTTATAAAAAAAACATTATTTTTTTGTGTTATATATATATGAGATATAACTGTTATAAGATTTGAATATCATGAAATATAAAACTTTTTCCGGTTATTTTTTCTTATTAATATTTAATTTACATTAAAATTTCAAACTTTCAAATGATAAACAATCATTTATTTTATACTTTTTATAGATATTCAAACAATGACTTTGACCTTTAAATTTATCGTAATTTAGGTATATTTGATACATTTATCAATGATATTAATGATTTGAATTGACTCAGCACTAATATAAACAAATTATTATATTTTATTAGATAAATAGAAAAAATACATACTATATTTTTTAATTTAACTTAACATTTAAATACAATAACATGTTTCGACGACAAAAATAATATAAATATCACTACGGAATATTATATTAATTTATTTTAATCTAATTATAACAATTTAAGATTATATTATCATACAAGAATTGTATTTACTTATCCATGTATAATAATATATTAGCATTAAAGACATTTGAGATCCTAATAAAAATATATCGATATCGTTTAACTATTTGTACTCGTTAATCATGTAGCTGGTATTAGTCATAAATAGTAATTCATGATTTTTATATTATTCCAAAATATATTAATGATTATTTCTGCATATTAATATAATATGCATAGTGTACCTATTATCTAGAGATTATATTATTGTGGCAATTGTTATTTTACCGAAAAAACTTTATTATAACGATAATAAAGTACTAAGTAGGTTACCTTTATGCGGATTTATGATAATACCGAGAGGAAATGTTAATTAACAATATTTTAAATTAGAGGGATGGGTGTCAAACTTATATAATTATTATTATTTTTTAACTGCAATACATTTAAGTCGTGACCATCCATTTTTAATTAATTAATATTGCTTTAAATAATCTGTACGTCCCATCATTTGTTCATCATTATTCGTTTTCTAGTCTTCCTATATTTAACTGTAAAACTTAGTTTGTATTTTAGTAAATATTTACCTGTTATATACCGGCAATCAAAATATTATCTAATGCGTTGAAATATTCTAATTCTATAACTATAAAAGATACAGTATATGTATAATAATGTAAACAACTAATAAGTGTATTATTTTATACAATACATTTACTGTATCTGATAGTAATATTATAATATACATTACTTTTAAACTTTTTATTTTTTTTTCAATCGTTTAAATTTAATATTCTACTTAAAATTTTGACTAAGTATGTATATATATATATTTTTTTCTTATCACCAATTTGATTGTGCGTCACAATAGCTATATTATAATTTCGCTGAATCGTTCACGCCAAAATATCGTTTCCCGAGAATTTTCCGTCACTCGTCAGGCGATTCAGTTACCTGCAGTATTATGTAAAATATGTTATCTTTGCAGGCAGAAATATACCAACAATATATTCGCTTATGCGAAAATTATTGTGTGTGTATTGTATATATACTTGAAAATCTTAATTATACCTCAGTGAAGTAATCATGTGATGTAAAATTATTCCAAAAATGAATTATTGTTATAAGTTATAAGGTATACTAAAGATAACACCTCACAGTTTATTTTATCATCCATTTAATGTCGTGTAAATACATATAAACATTTCACTCTAATATTATAACCTTATGACCAGGGACGGATCAGAGCAAAGTTTTACAAAGAGGGCTTCGTTTAAATGTACATATAGTACAAACTACAAATATTTATCTTTAAGATTTTTAAATATTATTTATTTACATGTTTAATGTATAATTTTGTATAATATAAGTATAGGTACCATACCATCACTCGTGCTTATACTGTAATAAGTGTAATATATTAATGATAAATAAAAAAAAATAAACCAATAAATAAAAGTATCTTATTTAGTTTAAATTTATATTATTTTTAAATTTTTATACATTATTTATTGAAATGTCCTAGATCCAAGAGCATAAAATAAATATTTTAATTTACAGTTTTTAAATTTAATTAACTATCTTGATGTAAGTAAAATTAAATATTTCTTTAAAATAATATATTGGAATTCTATATGTTATTGTGATATGAGCTCTTGATGTGGACCTCGATATCAGTTTTTACTTATATTGCCTAAAGTTATTATAGACTAGTTATTGCAAAATTTTTAAAATTGTACATACATGTTGTATTTACTACAAGAGGAGCATTTAATATTTTTTTTTAATGTCATGAGTTCATATGCATATAACAATGATACAATTGTGTATTTGAATATTACGTTGTTTTAAAGCGGGCGTATATTAAAATCTGATTACACATTAGGCGGATTGCTGACTCCCGAACACCAATAGTAAATAGTCTGCCTCTGTAGAGGTACGCCCAACATAAACGAGTTACACATTTTTCATTTCCAAATAAATATTTAAAATAATATTTTAATGTGATCAAATTTTATTAAATTTTAAATTTATTTTGATTAATTATCGTAAACCAGCTGAGTTGTACAAAATTTTATTTATATGATTATTTAAATAAATATGTATTTGAATAAAAAAATATTCGAATAATTTTTAGTACGAATAATTATGAAAAAATCACTAGAATAATAATTTATTCGGGTAAAATGTTAAATGTTATCTTAATAATCATCTAAACAAAATTTCGTTCGAATAACGCCATAATCTACGGCGCCTACTAGAAAACAAAACATAAAATAACGAGCGACTGTAAATTCATCGATTTACAGGTAATTGATTTTTGGGCTGTATTTAAAACATGTAAAAGTTTTTCTTGTTCATACTTTATTCAGTTTACACGTTTTTAACCATACAACTATCTTTGTTTCAATGTCTAAAATTGATTAACTGTTGTCTGTTTATGTATATTTAGTAGGTATATTTATATATTTCTACTTATAAAAATTGTTTTATTTTCATTTAGAGCATTATATAGGTAACTTATTTATATAGGCGTAATTACGATGTGGGCCTTTCAAAATAATTTTTGTCATGCGCGTAATGTGTGTGTAGTAATGATTACACTTATTAATTTTCAACTTTGTATATAATATTATATTTATTACATAAATATTTTGAATGTTTATTTGTAGTTATTAGTTATTTCAGTTTTCGCAGAAATAAACATGGAGATCAACGATAATGTAAAATATAATTGGTTATTTTTCTTGTAAAAGAAGATTTAAAAACGTACTCAATACATGATATGTTCCACAATATTATTACTAAATTCTAGTTACTATCGTAATGTATATGTATAAAAACGTTTGTATAAATAATAATACGAAATAATTTATGAAACATTACAGTATTATTTTATTAGACGGAAAATACACATACATAATAATTATTTATAATGTAAATTAAAAAAAAAAAAAAAAAATGAAACAAATAATATATGGAATATGAAATAATTAATTATAAGCGTACTTAATGTAAACGGAACGGTATATATAATGTTTTCGAGATAGTTTAAATAATTTTATTTTTTGATTTTCTTATCAGCATACCTACTATATTGAATTACAATTGAGTCGATGCAGTTTTAAGATTAATTATACATAATAAAAATATATTGGTATCATTTAAATTATTTGTCCTTAAATTGTGCAAATCAGTTTTCTTAAGCTAATAATATTATATTATAAAAATTGAATTACATTGAGTATATATTTTTATGCATTTTAAATTTTACCAAATTGAATTTAAACGTCCTCAATTTCGTCAACTTGCATGGTAGCCAAAGTGGATATAAGTTCCTTGAATATTCTGGGTTCACAGTTTTTACCTATCTGGTATAAAACAAACCAATCGCCTATCTGGAAATTTTCGATTATTGTAATTAAATCGTTTCGAAGAGACAGACGAGATTTCATTCTTAACAACACAAAACGGAACTTTGTCGATATTATGATAGCTACACGGTACAACAAGTTGATACCACTGATCACAGCAATAAACAAGAACCAGAACCACACGAACACGTAGATTTTCTCGTTGACTGTGTTCAGCGGCAACAAGCATAAGCCATCGAACTTCTGTATGGTACCGGAGAACCCATATTTTTCAAACGTGCACTTGGTGACTTTGGGGAAAATTTGGGACATGGGATCCCCTCGTTCATCGGGCTCCATGTTAGTGAACCTGATAACGTCGAGACCGTACCACACAAACTCACCTTCGAAGAAGTAGTGGAGGAACAGCATCTGGCCGACGACGTTGACAAAGTTCAGCGACTCACAGATAAAAAACTGAACGGCGTACAAGTTGTGCGTGTGTAAATTTACGGCGAAGTAGTCTACCAGCAGTTTTATGGCGTTAGCTTTTTGCTCATCGGTGATCATAATGTCGTTGAGTCCGTTGACCAATGCCCGTATACGACCGCCCTCCAAAATTTTCCACACGTACCTGGGAATGTAAAAGCACACAGCCTGGAAAGACAGAACGAAGCACACCCACTGGTAGTACTTGTGGTACTTGACTTTGTCTTCGTTTTGTCGATGGGGCGCGACGCCAGGTTGAATGACGTCTTTGCCGACACGGCCGCTGATATTTTTCTTCACAGTGAATGTCGAGTGCATCCAACAATACGGTTCCATGATGTGATATGGCACACCATCTACCAGGCAATTTATCGGGTCACCGACGAACTGTCGGGCGGTGACGATCAATGAGAACGTGACTAGTAAGATGACGGTTGCTTTGTAGTGTAGCCGGAACACGTTGTTGTCAGTGCACACGACGTCCAACTTTAGTAGATCTCGCACGGCTTCAAAAATGCTGATCATGGCGCTGGCTTTCGATTGCTAAAATATTTAATCAAATTGAATCTTAGGAATTTTATAAGAAAACAATCGAAAACACTGCTAACACGATTTTGAGTAAATGACCATATACACATATATACGCGCGTATAAAAAATGTGACTATTGACGTGATGTATTATGTCGACGTTAAATACTAAAGTACAGTGATTGCGTTATTGAAAAATAGTCAACTGTATCTAACGACATTATAAATGTTGGATGATGTTTCAGGAGAAGGGGGCCCGAGCCGGTCAAAGGCTACATTGGGAAGGGAATATAATATAATTAGTATGATTATAGTAATTATTTATCTTATATCAGTTAAATATTACATTATAATATATCTCAAAAATACGATATGATAAGTCTTCGTAAATTAGAGTGAACACTGTACATGAAAATATTAATGACCGATAAAATAAATCACCAGAAATCGTATCGCAATTATCGAATGATTAGAGAGTTAATATAATTATAATAATGAATCAGTGTTTAATGAAATAAAGGACAATTTTTATAGATTTAAATTAATAATAAATAAATACTAAATTTATATTAGATTATAGTAAATTATTTATTACTTACTATTGCCGATATCAAACTTGCCATTACTAAGAAATAATTGGTTATATTTTAGTTCATGCTTTTATAATAGATCATAGTTATTAACTTTATTGTAAATTCCCATACACGTACGAATATACAAAAAAAAAAGAATGTACTTTTTTTGTATCTATACTAAATAATCATGCATGATGTGACTGTAGTACTGTACCTACTTAATGTTAATTGTGCTCGTGTTTCAATTGTGTCACAGTGTTAAATTTTATATTTATTTTTTAAAGTTATATTAGTATTATATTACAGTATTATTGTATCTGTATTTAAATATTAAAAATAGTTATGGTATAACTTAATTTTTATTTAATAAAAAATTTGATAACATTGCACCCAATTTCACGCCAAATTGTACGCCTGGTTATCCTTTGTTATTCTGGCGCTGCGCGCAAACGTATACACAAAAAGGTAAAACGCGCGCAATCGTACTCGGCCGGGTAAGTATTGGGTCCTGGTTATAAACGGATGTACCGTATCTCCGCATAAATAAAAATATTTTACAAATCCATAACTTCGAATATACCGTATTTTCCCAAAGTCAAAAAAATGAACGTACCGGAACTCTACATTTTAAAAATATTGTTAATATCTGCATGCTATAAAATTTATTAAGATATCATTATATCGGTGTAAAACCAATTTAAAATTAAACTATTATATTGGCAAAGCTTTTTCTACTCATATCTACGTGTGTTTTGTTGTGACTCTACAAATAGTTGTGAATCACACATGCTGTATTTAACCAACGATTTTACAGTCCTCGTCCTAATATTTTTAATTTTGTTAATGAACTAATTAAAGTACAGTTAGAGACGCATATAAAATTATAGAGCACAAAACAAAAATTAAAATTAAAAAAAAATACACTCAACAAAGAACAATAGTTAAGGGAACAAATGACAAAATTTACTATTAATATGATAATCCGTTTTCAATTTGTTAAAATTTTATGTTTAAGTTTTTCCCGAGAACATGATATTATAAATATCACATATATTTCAATTTATACCAGTTATACAATATTTATACCATAGTTATAAAATTTAATATACTAACATTTTTTCCCGGACTCAATTTACTTGCTACTTTTTTTCGGAGACTCCATTTACCTACTACCTTTTTTTTTTCAAAACCCAATTTACGTATCCTGCTAAAAGTTGGATGACACGTGATTTTGTTAGAAAAAATGGTCGAAATGAATAATTGGTGGTTTGCAAAGAATATTCGGCCATAAATGGGTATTTGTTAAAAAGGGTCGTATCTCGTCTCGCTGAAAATTAATTTTCATTTTGTACTATTTCATTTTACCACTTATTATTTATTTCTCAAATTATTTTTATATTATTTAGTATGATTATTATTTTTATTATTCAACTATCGACTATTGACTTGTGTGCAACGTATATACAAATATATTGTCGTAGTTTACTTTTATATATTAGGTACTTACATTTTAATGATAATAATAGTTATTATTTTCAGTTAAAAATTATTATTGATATAAGGTACAACCACGATCTTTTTTATAAAATAGTAATACATATAAAACCACTTATTATATCTAGGTATAGATATTTATATATACAATTTAAATTAATCTGGTTTAGGTATAATCAATTATAAATTAATGTGCTAATTTACTTGTAATTTGGGAATTTGGCTTAGAATTTTTTTGTTTTAGATTTTACTATAGATACTTAATTAATTATACAACATTATATTGAATTTTATTGACTAGGAATTGTTTTGGATAATTAAATAATAAAAGTGTTGTAGGTATAATTAAAAATAATTCAACGAAAAAATAAATTTAATGAATGGTACAGCGTGGCGGCAAAATTATATTGTTTAAAATACCTTTTGTAATGGTAATTGTGTGTTAAAGATAAGTACGAGTAGTTGTTTGTTGCGTCCCATTTTTAATTTATTGTACAAATTGCAAAATGGTTTTATTTTTATACTTGGATAAAAAAGTCCACTGATAAAAAGACATTAAATAAGCTATACAGAATATCTCGTTGTATGCGTCTTACTTTCGACTTTTTTTTATCACTACTCTATTCACCATCAACGAGGAATGTCAATCAAACTATCCTTGATAATCGAGCCAACAACCAAACAGAAAGTTTTTCAAAGTTGTAGATTACAATCACCTTTTTATTTAAATATTAAAAAAATGAGATTAAAGTTATTTTCTGACGAATAAAAATTATCCCAATTATTAATGGACAGAATATAAAAGAAAAAAGAAAAAAAACTTATGAAAACATGAAAGAAAAATTAAACAAAATATTATGTAATGTTTTTAGTGCAACGGAAAATTAATGAATATTTGACAGCTATTGCTTACATAATACGATTATTTTAGTTAATATTATACTAAAATTTTAAATTGTTTGTTTATATTGATTATTATAATTTTTGTATATTTGTGTAAGTCTTACTAAATAATGATAATGTATTTTAAAATAAATTATAACACATTGTAAGAATTATTGTTTTAGTACAAAAATAAATTGGTGTCTTTTTTATCCATGATTTTTTTGTCATATATATTTTTAAATTTTATATCTATTATGTAATAAGTAAGTAACTAGCAACTCTGGTATAATCCAGTACCACGGTCGTGATGTGAGCTAAGTAAAAAAAATATGGCGACGTCACGACAATATATAATATTATGTATTATCTCGAAGTAGGAGTTACCCATTTAAACAGTGTAAATGTTGATTTTTTTTTTCTAACCAGACTTAATAAATTATTTACTGAATCAATTAATACCTAATAAATTGAAAAAATCTCAAAAATTTGTGCAGATGATCATTTTGCAAAAATCGTCGAAATCATACGGTTAGAAATTAAGTTATTAAAGGAAATGAGCAAACTTTTTAGTGAGAAATTATAATGAAATCTGGAATTACGGCGGCCGCATCTCGGTTTGTCGTGCCTACTGGTTCCCCTCTCTATTTCATGTACCTACACAAGTTCAAGCGACCTCGGTGGCTTAGGTGGTAGAAAATTAACGAATCATTTATTTATTGCTATTTTATGACTTAACATATTTATTATTTTATTCATATTTGTTTCATTTGTAAAGTTGTTACTCGACATGCTTCACTGAGTCGTTGGTTTATGTTTCACAGTCTATATATGTGTTGTCGTTCTCTGTTTATAATCTAAACTTAAATTTACATTTTTGTCTTATTTTAATAAATAATAATATTATTGAACTGGATATTTATTTGCAGATATGTACGTTATAACATATTTGTAAATTAAAAACATATACCTATAAATAAAATAATTAATACATAATGTAAATAAATATAAAATAATACCAAAAAATATTGACTAAAGTGTGAATAAAACCAGAAAAGTGCTAATTGAATAAAATAAAAATTAGTAAAATAATAAGGTTCTAGGTCACTTTGTACGGTCAGACATTAAGTGCCAACGCAGTAACTATTAGTACAGTCAAGTAAAAGGTATATTGCAGAACGCTGGACACTGAACGGTCGAGTAAAGGTACTTCAGAACAGCGGACAGCTTTGTATAATTTATCATAAGTCTGTCATATACTATAGTTTTACATAAGCTAGTAACTTCAACTATAACCAATATCTGTACATTATGCATAGTGTTATATTAAAGGAAAAATAAAAAAAATTGTTATAAGTATTGGTGTATAATAATAATAATAATCTAAATAACAAATATCAATAATATCATTCAAACTATGTACAGAGTGAACAATATAAAATCAGCGAAAATGTCAACATGGTATATCAGCTTTATATGTGTTAGATGTTGGATTTTGATGGTATTAACTAATAAAAGTATATAACTAATATTAACTATATAAATATGAATGATTTTAAATTCCGTAGTCTTTACATGTAGTTTTTAAATATTTTTCCAGTATTATATTTTTGATGTTTGACATTTATTTCATTCTGACACATTCTATATATTATCCTATTTTATTTTATTTTTATTTTAATAATCTAAAATACGTAACATCTAAATACTATTTATAATTAAAATTGTCTTTGACATTTTTGACTTTTTGATATTTATATTGTACACAAATTATTGACATTGTTTAAATGATATATATTGATTATTGTTTATTTAGATTATTATTATTATTATTATTATTATACAATCAATATTTTATAACTTTAATTTTTATTTTCTATTTTAATCAATTAACATATACATATATTAGTTACTAGTTAGTGTTACTACCTAAGTATAAAATTTATTTATAATATACATTTATGTTATAATAGTATAAAGTGTCCGCGTTCTGCGTAAGTACCTTTTACCCGACCGAAGACAAAGTGTCCGCGTTCTGCAATGTACCTTTTACCAGATCGTACAAAGTGTCCGCGTTCTGTTTTTAAACAATAGACAGTACAAAGTGACCGTTTACCAAAATATAAATTCCCCCAAAAAACTG